AATTCACCCTGGAAAGACCCGAAAGGAATTTTTGGCCATTTGCTATTTCCTTCTATTTTCTTTGTTGTGCACACATCAGAAGGTAAGTTTTGAAGAAGAGCAAAAGGACTCAGTTCATTTATCTGTGCAGTGAGATTTGATGTTCGATACACCGATAGAGAAGTATTTGTGCAGAGCCTGAGTAATCAATGCTCCTGATTGGAGCATTGAGGCGGTTTGGAGGAGAACTATTTCAGTCCTGATGTTGTTAGACAATTATTTGTTTTTAGAGAAGAGATAAGTAGAAGGTAAGATGGATTGTTTCTCCAATCTGGTGGACAGGCCCAAGTAAAGCCAAACCATACGATGATGAACTAGGTTATGCAGATTGTTGTAGTGAGTTAGCCCTTGTGTATGTCATCTGCACCATGCATAGATCTGTCCCACAGAGAATGAAATGACCAAAACAACAAACTAGTGATTTGATCCTCCCACTGTAAAGCTGATTTCAGCATTCATTCAAAATGTTTAGTATGGAAGTTTAATAAATTGATTTGCATCACAAACTTGCACTCATCAAACCCACAAATATCAGGTTAAAATAAGAATGCATATACTGCGTAGATTAGTTTTCTTTGCATAATTGCATTTTTTTGAGTCTAAAACTCCTTGATTTCTGGAAAATTGTTTTTTTTGCCAAGATGCATACCAATCATGTTAGTATTCAACAGTAGCAGACACATACTAATATTGTTAATGTTTTTAAGCTAAACTGAAAGAAAAATTACACATTTCCTTAAGGTAGATATGATAACAAGAATTTACTTTTTAAGAATTAAAATTATGAAATTATACTAATGTCCAACTAAATATTAATATGAAGACCCTATATTTAGGCCAATGTATCTGAAGTGTTTATCTCATCAATGTATCAACCACAGTATTTCTGACTGTCTTTAAGGAATCAATGAAAAGATATATGTGCCATTTTCTGTTTACTTGTTTTTAATTTTTTTGTATTTACCTTTTAGAAGTTTTATATTTTACAGTATTTAAAATTTGCTTTTGTGGTTACAAATGTGTGTCAGTTAGTGGCTTTAAGAGTGGTAATGGAAAAGGAAAACATACTTTAGAGAATTGAATAAGAGAAATTTTTACAAGTAGGGAATAAGGACCTCTGGCCTAAACTATTCATTAAACAAAATGCTGTGTTCTAGAAGGTGATTAATAAAATGGTCAGTCTGCTTCAGGACAATACTGATTGCTAATGGACACTTACAATTTTTGAGATGTTTGGAACACGTCCATCTTCACTCCATATGCAAAAACTGCCAAAATCTGCCAACCATTAGCTCAGAGGATGAGAATACATTTTTTGTTGTCTGAACTTTTCCCATACAAATCTGTCCTTAGCAAAAAAAAGAAGACTGCTGTGTAGTGAGGAGGGATTGCTTATACTCAGGTCAGTTAAAGCTTCTGCCAGAGATACTAATGTCTTTTTTTATGGTGCATACTGTTATGCACAACAACTGCATATTAAAAGAAGAATGAAATTTCTTCACTATTTTATTCTTCTAACCATTGAACTGGCAGTGCTTCTTCACACTGTAGTAAGAACTCATTGTCTGTACCAAAAATTTCACATAAGCTGATATAATACATATTTGAAAGATTAATTGTACTGTGTTAGAATCTAGCTGTCAAAGCACATTTTAGACACAAATCGGTAGGAAGCATTTTATTGTTCAGCAATGATCAAAGGAGTCCTTTGAAGATCTGGAAGTGTTCTCCTGTGATTTTGTGGAGATTTTGCACTTTATACTGGAGGGTAATTTGGTCATGTCCAAAGACAGCACAGGTTTTTTCACATAGGAGAATATCTGCAGTTTGAATGAAGCTAGTACTGGGTATTAATTTGAGTATCCTTTCTAGAGTCCAGATTTGCATTTCTCACAGAATGTTAGTCTTCACAGAAAAGTAAGCATTACACAGCATTTACCACAAAGTAGCATATATATAGAATAGGAATTAGTTACAAAATTTTTATGTAGCATATTTTGATAAATGCTGGCTTTTTATCACATTGAATATACTCAAAATACTCCAATAATTTCATATTTTTTCATTTATTTTATGTAGTAAACATCAACGGGTTATTCACGATCATAAGTATAATAAATTTGGCACAAGAGGGAACATGCGATCAGTGGATATAGCACTGGGATGCAAAGGCATGGACTGTATTTTGCTTTTCATAATCACTCTAAATGGACCATGACAAATTAATTTCACCTCACTGCCTTAGTTTCCTTTCATACGAAGCTGAGATCCCAATATTTCCTTTGAAAAAAATGCACAGAGGTCTTTAGAAAGATAAGTTAGTTAAGAACTATGTGAGATTTTGTTACTATTGCTGTAAATGGAAGAAGAAGGTGTTTGTCGTCATTCACACCAAACCTCGGTTTATTCCCCATTTCCATCTTCTAAATGGGATGTTCTGAAATAAAGATCACCAGTGTGGATTGGATGGAGATATTAGAATTACCTGTGGATCAATCAGAGATTTATCAGTAGAATCTTTCAAGGCTGCAGCTCAGATTCTTTCCTACTCGTTCTACTTCCTAAGCTGTTGCCATGCAGCAGGTGTGGGATTTTTTTGAAATATTGCTGTTTTGATTTAGGGGCATTTCATGTCTGCTTTTTTTTTTTCCTGTTTTATCTCTCTGTGATTCTTTTTATGTATGTTGGAAGACAGTGAAGAAGAAGGACCTTTGAAGTTCTTTATTGATGGAAACATTGCAGAAAGTTCAGATTTATATTCTAATGATTTATGTGCAGGAATATTTGTCAAAAGAATCTGTAGGACTTATCACTCTTTTTGAATTTTGGTGGGATTTCAAAGTCTTACTCCCTCAGGCTCTTCTTCCTACTTCTTTATACTTCAAACATCAATCTTATCATACATAGCAATGACTTAATGGTAAAGCCTCTCAGACAAAAAACACAGTGAAGCTCTTAGGGCAATTGTTTTCCTTTAATTACACTGTATTTCCATCCAAATTTCATAAATTCCCCTTCTTCAAGCACACTGTTTCTGCTGCTCCTGGTCCTCCATGGTACTAAGCATTTTGTCACTTTTCCTGATCTGATTGGTAATTGAACTGATAGGTAAACTGTTGTTTTTAAATGGGATTTTAAGTCATATGATATTTAACAAATAAAACAACATATAAATCAGCAAATAAAGAGTACAACTGACCGTGATCTATCACAGAGAAATGAGCAAACTATTTCTCATGAGACTGTCTGGTAGTGATAAGAGACTGTACAAAATGGAGTGTAATAACAAAGAAATACATGTTTTAGAGGTTCATAATTTTGTATTTCAGACATATATTTACTAAAATATTATTAGAGATAATAGCAACTGGCTTTAAAGAAAACCAAGCAAATTAATTTTCAGTATACTGTAAATTTGATTTAATATAATTTTGAATATTTATGATGGTAATTAGAAAAATGACAAAATTTTATTGTATTTTATTGTAAGACCTCTTGGTATAGCTGAAAATTGAACTGGTAATTTTTGCCATATTAGGTTATAAGTATTCATAATTTCCAAAATATGCACTTGTCACAGTTCCTAATGAGAACTGTTTTCTGTCCTGCCCCTACCGTGTTCCTTCAGGTGACAAAATTCTCTTTCCTTTATTCCACATGCTCTCCTTAGCCTCTGGCCCTGACCTGGAAAAGGTCCTCACAGCTCCTTGGCTCACAGACCAAAGGAGCTGAAGAGGCTGTCACTTGTCGCTGTCTAGTCAGCACTCCTTTTGTACCACTGTATGATTGACGGAGAAGAACCTTAAGCCTTGTTAATCAGCGCACAAGGGAGCCAGCAGAAAGTGATGGAGGCTGATAAGTTTCTTGAAGTCACTTCTATATTGAAATCACTTGAATAATTTATATTGGTTGAATTTTATCAGGACTTGTCAATTCAAAGATAATTTACTTGAAAATGGTTTGTGTAAAATGGTTTATGAACAGCAATTGCAATAGTACAAACTGTTGCAGCATACAAATATTTTGAAGTCATGAGACCATTTTGTACCTGTCCAACAAAACAAAAAGGTAGCATTTGCTAATACACAGAATGCAGTTTCCTTCCAACAAAGTTTTTATGCTCTTCTATTTCCAATTTATGTGCTGTGCTGACAGTAGCAAAACAGTAAATCAATTTCCAGATTCAATTTGAAGTTAGTGGATGAATTTATATTATCAATGTTTAATCAGTATCTTTTTTGTTTGTTTGTTGCTTAGAACAACAGCAAAACCCAGCAGATGGGATGCCCAGCACTGGTTGACACAAGCATCTGGTCTAGGTTATCAGTCTGTTTTTGCCTGCCTTCCCAAGTTTAAGCATCAGAGTAAAGTTCCATAGACAGTGTGTGCCACCTGTCCGTCATCACCTATTGTTTCCTACCTATGTATTTTTCTTCATAAAATCCATACCACTACAGAACCTTACATTCCTCTTTAGAAAATCTTCCTTATATCGTCCTGCTGGAATATATTGTACCCTTTATGGGTTGCCTTATTTCCTTACTTCTAGTCTCAGCCATTCTCTTGTGCTGTTGAAATGCTTGATTACTCTACAGCAGTAGATGCCACAAGAACTATTTTATGTCTTTCTGTATATTTTTTCCTTACTTCTTAATGTAAAATAGCTATGTTTACTGAAATTAGCCTTGTCACACACCCGCTGTTTATCAGGTACAGAAATCTAAATATTGGAAGTGTTCAATATACAAACAAAAGCTAGCAATCAGGAAGGAGAAAGTCATATCCTTAATACATTGAATTCCTGTTTATTATTCTCAATATTATCCAATTTTGTGTGGTGATCATTCTCCCTTGACAATTTTACCAAGGGAATTCTGCAAAAGAGCCTTTCTGTTTTGGTTCTCAGAAAGCAGATTAGTGTTTCGTTGTGTCAAAAAAAGCATATATTTATTCCATTACAGGAATACACAATAGATGTTTTCTTCCGTCAGAAATGGAAGGATGAGAGATTAAAGTTTAAGGGCCCAATGAACATTCTTCGATTGAACAACCTAATGGCCAGCAAAATCTGGACCCCAGATACATTTTTTCACAATGGGAAGAAGTCAGTGGCTCATAACATGACAATGCCAAATAAGCTCCTACGAATCCAAGATGATGGAACTCTGTTGTACACCATGAGGTAAGTCTGTTCATCGGTTCTCTACTCAGGCTATTTCTTGATGTGATTTTTTTGAAGTAACAAATAAGGTTCCAGGAGGACTCTCCTTTGTTGTATTTCTGTCCTAGCAGAAAGAAAGCTAAAAAAATGTGTTTGTTTTCCAGTTCTGTTAAAAGTCTATTGGCTGATAATGAGTTAGATCAGTTTTCCTGCATGTGTCTCAGTTTTCATATCTCTGTAATGCATTAAAGATATTGACCACCTGCATAAAGTGCTTTGAGACCTTCAGATAGAGTTTACCCACTCTTAAAATTATTAAAATAGTATGTGAGTTTTGCCTGTTACTGCAGCCATGGTACTGACTATGTGAGCCCTTAAGCAAATTTATTAAGATCAGTGGCAATAAAAAAAATCAAAGAATAAAGAGTTAATAAGGTCTTAAATTCTTTCCAGCAAGAGCTATAGGGAAAATATGTTTTGTTATAATAATTGTTTCTTTGTATATAATTACAATATTTTACTTAGAGTTTTAATTTTTGCATCCTGTGCATCACTAGCAGCTACCATAAATATTTAGCTGGTAAAAAGTATTAAATTTAATTAGAAAATAATTTATGAAAAAATTATAAATATCATGTATACATAGATATAAGCAGCGTTTTTATAAGACTGATTTCTTCTTTGATTACTATTTTAACAATAATGTTACCTATATGGATTTTTTTGAAATTTCCAGAAGACCCTGCCTGACTTAGTTTCTTTCTTTTTCTTGGAGAATATTTAATAAATTGAAGTTGTTGTTCCTGTAGACTTAAAATCCCCAGCCTAAGTAAGATACAAAATGTGAGCTGCAAAGCAAACATGTTCTGTGTGATTTTTTCCATGCAGCCGTACTAGCATCCCTTAAGCCTGATTTTACTGTGCAGCTCTGAATCCCATACAATATTGAATGTTGATGGCTGGACTCCTAATGATTGTGAGATGATGTAGTGGTTGGAGAGGTTCAGAAAAGTTTGCTGGAAGTCAATTGAAACACCATTTGTAGTATTTTTTCTTGGGCTCAAATCAATATTTGAAGTGGTATCTGTATAACCTAACTGAAATTCTCTTCCTCCAGAAGGTATTATAATCATATGCTATAAATAATAAGAAATACTATTTGAAACCATTATGAAACATATGCTGAGTCATGTTAACTAAAATTAACTAAACATTTTCATGACTTGTAAGTATGTTGCTTCTCAGAATATAAGGTTAATGTGTAAACTGGTTTTGTTGCCTAGATTTTAAACAGCCTTTTTTTCTGTGTCTAAATAAAATGATTGCGTGATTTTTATCAGAGGCTCAGGCAGTTCTTTCCTTTGCCTTCAGGTGTCTCCTGATTCTTGTCTCTCTCTGCCCCTTGAATTAAGAAAAACATTTCTGGGGAGTGGAGGAATAGAAATATGGAATATTTTTGAGTGGAAGGGTGGGAGAAAGTAGCCAAGAATAAAAAGACTAGAAACCACTGGCAATACGGAGGGATGTAGCTGATGTTTGAGGCTGGATGAAGAGGAGCAAAGGCATCCAGAAAAAAACCTCTACCAAGAGGAGGCTTCCAGGATAGGAAGGAGAAAGAGACATTTTTTTCTTGGCTTTTTAAATTTTTTTTTAATTAAAAATAATGCGAAAGTCTGTAAAAAAATTTCTTCAAATTGTTTTAAATTATTTTTATTGCACTAATTCCCATATATGACACTGAGATATTGCTGGATTTTTTTTCACAAAATCAACAAAAGTGGATGTACTCTTCACATACTTTCACATTTATACATAAATCAAAAGAATAATGACAAGTAACATGGAGAATGAGTAGCAACAATCTTTTGAAAAAACACAAATATTTTTCCTCTACATATTCCATTCAAACTAAAAAATTTAAATTCAGAAGACTCTGATAGTCCTTTGGCAAATTAACTGTATTTTATATGCTTTTATAATGAGCCTTTGAGACCCATATAAGCACACATGTATCTCAGAATATTAAAAGAAGAAAATTACTGTTCTTAATAACCTGCAATTACATAATTTATATATGTCTTTAAATGGCCTTTTCTCATAGTTTTGAGGTCAGCTTTTTCAGATTTTTGATGTGATAAATTAATGCCTTCCAAAGGAACACATAAAAAGGAAGAAGCAAGAGCTGATCTAAATTTTTGTTACTTTAATATCAAATTGCAATTTAGTCTCCTAAATCAGCATGCACTCTCTTCAGTTCTCTGGAACTGAATTTCTTGCCCTGCTAAATGACTTAAATGCATCATAGTCTTTTGCCTTTTAGGCTTACAGTCCAAGCTGAATGTCCAATGCACTTGGAGGACTTCCCTATGGATGCGCACTCTTGCCCACTGAAATTTGGCAGCTGTAAGTATATAATGTGAAGTATGGCCTTTGGTTAGTGAATATCTAACATTGCTCAGCATAATTTTGTTTCAGTAAATTCTTACATGAGATATTTTAACCACGAGATGGTATTTTTAAAAATATTTGTAACCTGACACATCAAAATCCCTTTTTTCTATTCAGTGTTGTGTCTTCTAGTGTATTTTAAAGATTTCATGACTCCAGTTAACAATAAAAACTCTGCACCTAATCAACACTGCACTGTGCAAACCACACAGCGTGGTGTGTGGTTTGCAGCGTGCAAACCACACCGACAAACATAGAACTGGACGCACATAACCTGTGCAGTATTAACGAAGAGCAGATCAATGACTTCAATAAATGTTTGTTTTCATTTATTAGAACATTTAGTTTCTCTTTATCGTTAATGATATTTGTCTTTATGCTCTTGTTCTATTGAAGGCAATAACGGCACCTTCAGATAAAAATTTTTACTTGTTAGTGCATCTGCATGTTAGAGACAGGTGGACTTTGATCTCACTAGTGTTATTTTAACAGCAGCATTATTTAATTTACTTATATTACAGCCCTTCTTCTTCTTCATTACATATGTTTCCTGGATTTTGTACACTAAAAGTTTTATTTTCTTTCATTGGCTGCAGACTACATTCTCTGTTGGGCCCAGGAAAGGGATATTTTTTTTGAGGAAACAAGTTAATACCCTTAAATTCTGGCTGATTTCATAATAATTGTAGCAACCACAGGTTCCAAACAGGGGATATGCTGCCACTAAGGACATCATTAACGAGACGATCATTTTAAGAGTGCTGTACACACTCTCCTCATAGCCCTGTGAAATCTTTTTTCCTTGAAGTTAGGAGCAAATTAGACCAAGCCTGTGCTTCTGATGATGTTTCCACACTAGAGGGAAATCTTATCTATGGAGATTAGAATCAACAGTGTTTGTATCATGGAGCCTTTTTTGCCCCCTAAGTATTATATTTCTAATACTTAATGCAGCCTAAATAGCTAACACCAGAGATGTTAGCCAAAATTGTCTGCTGACTAATAATATTTACATAGGTGTGCAAGCAAGATATGTTTGATTTATAAGTTTTTGGAGGAAAAAAAGACAGAAATGTAGCCTTAAAACAACTTTAAAAATCCTGTAATAATGAAACATATGCCAAGAGGCTACTTTCTTCATTTTCATTCCTAAATTGATAACCCTTCTGACTAAGTATATTAGACTTTGTGTGAATAGGAGGGATTTTTGTTAGTTTCATTTTTTTTCTTACCAGTTTGTTCTTTGTTCTCTGCCTATGGTTTCTGGTTTTCTAATAATCCAGAGAATTCTAAATGTGAGCAATGTGATTTAAAAAAAACCCTCTCTTTCATTTCTCTCGTAGTCATCTGTGCTTCAGCCTGTTGGCATATCCAGGGGACTCTTATTTCTGTTCATTTTGAATGGCTTCACACACATTTTATTTCCTTACCTTTCATTTTCAGACAACTGTGCATTTTTCAGCTTTTATTCTGGGCCAGAATCTGAATGATGAATAGTGGTGAAAATAAGCAGGAATCCTGAGGATTTGGGTTTAACTGAGGCAAGTTTGCCAGTGGTATATATTTGTCACAGCTCTTCGTATGCTGCTATTCTTACACTGCTGGGAGGATCATCAGCATGTATGAATGTCTTTTTTTATAAGTAAGAGAAAAGCCAAACTGAATGTATGGGAGAAGCTGTAGTTTAATAGATCATCTTTCTTTATTATTTTCAAAAAATCTAGTCAACAGTGGGGAGGATGCGGACAAATCAACAGTTGGTCATATTGATTTGCATTTAGTGCTGATTTGCAAAGATATTCTTGTGGAAATATGGAAAGATAGATGGAAAGTGTTAAGAATCTCTACGTGCTACCCACCTGCTAGATTTTGTTAGTTATGCAATTTATGTCTAGTTGCATGAAGAAGCTTCTTTCTGATCCTCTAGAGATTTCTCAAGTATTTGCAGACCAACAGAAATTATGCTTTTCTCTTTCACTGCACTACAGTTATGGTGTAAGATTTAAAATGTACTTTTCTCAGTCATTCCAAATGAACACACAACTTTTTCCATCAGTGATTTACCCTTTTCCTTTCATATGCCATTTGTTAATAGAATATTTAGCTGGAAAATCTTTCAGGACATACTCGAATTTTTTTGTTTCTTACTACAGTGACACTGTTGCTGTTTAAAATACAGCGTTGATTGGCTTTCATTCTAGTTTATTTTGACAGACCTCAGGCTAAATGTATGTTTGATCATGAATGTACTGAGAGAGCAGCTGCTTAATGTCAGTGTGCACCCCAAAATGATGGCAGGGAGTGAGATTTAAGAGGGTAGGCAGGGCAAGGCACAGAGCCACTACAAGGGCACTGTCACTGACCCTGGCTTCCCATATTTAAGTCTGAATTTCAGCTAATAACAAAATGCTTGTAATACATCCCCAGAGTTGATAGTGGGGACAATGAAAGGTCAGAACAATATAGCAATGAATTTTCAAAAATGTTGTGCGTTCTAAATCTTGCAAATCTCATCTGCCTTACCAAAGTTATAGGATACATATAATACCTAATCTCCGACAATTTTTTTAACAGTGTAGAAAAGATGTTGTTTGTAACTTCTTAGCAATAAGTTGTGGTTAATAAGATCACAAATGAGTGTCCTGTTCCCATGCTGCAACAGGTATTTACTCTACGATAAAGCTATTTAAACAGCTAAACATATTTTTTACTATATCATTTTAAACTGTTTTCGGTGAATTTTAATTTGAAAATTAACTGGGTATTGTAATTCTATGAGTTTTGATGGAAGCTGTTTAATTTAAATTGCTGACAAAATATTTTACCTTGTTTCTCACAGATGCGTACACAACATCAGAAGTGACATACATTTGGACTTATAACGCTTCAGATTCAGTACAGGTGGCACCAGATGGCTCAAGATTGAATCAGTATGACCTTTTAGGTCAAACAATTGGAAAAGAGACAGTTAAATCAAGTACAGGTTAGTAAAAGATATTTTGAAGAAATAGGCAGTTGCTTGCTCTGAAGAATATATTTCTGGTGCTGTTAAAGGCTACTGAAAAAATGGTTGCAAATGGTGATCTATTAGGCATAGTCAATGTACTGTACAAGTAACACAAACCAACACTTTACTGATTCTTTCATATTAATAAGTAACTGGTGATAGAAAAATTGAGCTTGTCTGCAGTGACTGTTTTTTAAATGCTGGCTGGAGCTCCATGTTGAATCCTTATATTTGTAACCCAAGTTTGGGATATTTGTTTAATTTCATGTGAGGACACTTTTTGTCTATTAAATGATAAAGCATATAGGTTTCCCTTCCATCATGTTTTTGGTATTAAACACTGTCTTATTCTACCAGACTCTAGACTGTTTTCCTACATGTGCCATTCTGTGATGGGCCCCCATGACTACTTTCTAACCATGATTAAGTTCTCAAGGAGCTGTTGTGTGAATGCAGAGTTGCTTATGTGCAGAAGCCTTCAGGGCTGAAGCTCTTCTCAAGGCATACAAAAGTTCCTGGAAGTTCCTTAACACTCATCTGTCATGGAACTCAGTGGGAATAAGATATAGCTGTACTCAAAATCTTTCTTTTATTTTGTAGGATGCTTTCTATTACAGAGTACTTTCAGTACAATATAACCCTAGCACATTTGGTTCACATAAATGTAGCAAACTTTCTCTTACCAAAGAAATGGACTTTCTTAAGGTTTTGTTTCATTGTATTTTGTTTGTTTGTGGCACCTAGGTGAATATACAGTTATGACGGCTCATTTTCACCTGAAGAGAAAAATTGGTTATTTTGTCATTCAGACTTACCTCCCCTGTATCATGACTGTCATTCTCTCTCAAGTGTCATTCTGGCTGAACAGAGAATCTGTACCTGCCAGGACAGTCTTTGGTGAGTATACTGAGTAGCATTAGCTCTATTTGCAACAGCTGAAGATGCTAGGAAGTATTTTGGAAGTAAAGGCCTTTTTCATCCAAGTTAAAGTGTTTGTAGAATGTGATATTATTTCTAGTCCAAACAGCTTTTCAACTGCAGCTTACACATCTCCCGAGAATCCCAAAGATTTTGGAAATTAGTACATACAAGAGAACTGTCCATATATATCCTTGACTCTTTTAAGAGGAAAAAAATTTCACAGAATAGAAAAGGTATTAATGTTTTTATTTTAAAAGTAAATTTGGTAAATTTACATGATTTTCTGAAATAAATTACCTTGATATTATCCAAGTGTTTTGGTACTTGATAAATAAACAGATTTCTAAATACATTTGTAAAGTAAGCAAATTAAATTTGAATTTGTTGAATTATTTTTGTTAAATTTTTCAAGCTGCAGTTCTTTTAAAGAAACCCTTTTCTAAGGGTCTGGACAACACATTTTCACTAATTCAAGTTGGAGTGTACTGTGAGGCAGCGAACAGCTTCAGCAGAGCAATATAATGGTACTTCTCTTACAATAAGGTTTTGCTCTCTATTTAAACCAAATAAAAAAAACCTCTTTCTTATTTGCGTAACTTAAAGTTCTTTTAGTTTATTTGCTTTTAGAGAAAAAGAGATTAGCACAACAAAAATAATGTCTATGTGGAATCAGCCATCAGAAATGCTGTATAAAATCATATGATTAGTCATCAGTAAACACCATGCACTCTTAAAAAAAATAGTCCAAACTCAAATGCATATTAAGTATGATGTACAACAAAGCACTTACTCTCACTCCTGGTAGAGAAAATACAACACAAAACATTGTGAAAATTTCAGGTTTGAATATGAGCCTTGTTGAAGTGAAATGAAATGGGTCAGTGGTTTCAGTGGGACCAGAATTCTACCACGGTTTCCTTCTTCAAAATCTTATATGAATTTAGACATTTCTGCTTATGAAAATGCACATTCCTGTTTCTAGCCTTGCAAGTACACTGTCAAATCCTTCTATATCTCTGTCTTTGCCCTTTTCTGTACCTGTTCCTATACATTTAGGACATTGTAGCTAGTTTCTCCAAAAAAAGTCTCACATCTACTCTTTCTAAAATGCTCTTTCTGTTATTGTCTCACTGTAAAAATGCACTCCATCAGTAACAAGGCACTAGGATCAAATTCCTGAAATTTGTGTCTCTTCTTGTACACTTCTTTCTTGTTCTTGATTTATTTTTTGTTTAATAAATGGGGGGTTTTTAGAAATAAGCAACATCTGCATGGCAGCCTGTTGCTTTACTCTCCTGAGGATTAGCATAATATGGATAATGAACAGTGGCCTGCTTCAGGATGTTTTGAGGGAGCTGTGTAGGATGGCTGCAAGAACAGAGCCACAGCACTCAGTGCCATAAAACTTGAAATCTGTTTATTAAGCATGATGGGTATATGGAGAAGATAGCATTTTCTATGGCAGTATTTTATTCCTGCCACACAGACATGGACCTCACCTGCCACTCAGGTCTCTGGCCCCTCCAGGCCAGCTTAAACTGGCACCCTGAACCCAGGGAAACAAGACAGGTTTTAGGCTCTACCTGTTGGAACAGCCTAACCCTGGCATGCAGAATTTCACCTCAGGCTTAGCCTTTTGCATTGGGTTGTGTTGGGTTAGATTTTCCCTGAGGAGCTGTTTCTTAACATTCTTTTACACTCTAGATGAGGTTGTCAGCTTAAACTGCCAATGGCCTTTCTAAATACATAACTTTGGGTGAATCTCCCACTCTTTTTCCATACCTGCTGGCAGCAGTTGTCACTGGGATTTCTGATACCCTCTATTCTCCTGTCTAAATGTATTACAAAAGTGTGAAGTTAGCCACAGTTTCATAACAAAGTCCATATATTGCTTTTTACTGTTTTATGGCTGTACTGAATTATTCTTGACAGAACTGGGCAGATGCACTCAAGGTTTTGTTTGGATAGTACTTTCAGGTAGACTCCATCCAGTGACATAAGAAGCCCACACTACAGTTAAGTTAATAAAACAAGCTACTTTCAGCAAGGAATATAAAAACCTTAGGAGATTTTTCCTTTACACTTTTATTGATCGTACTTAATTTTTAGTTTTTATATGGAGTAGTCACTTGTTAGATGCTCATCTTTGCATTTTATATTAAATATATCAATATTAAAATATAATGAAACAGAATTTATTGGTTTTGAGAATGTGTTTTTAAAATCAATGAGATATCAATGAGACATTTATTTCAAGTACCTTCTTGAGAGCTAAGCAATAACTGTTGGAATACTGTTCCTCTCAAAGAAACATAACTTCTAGTTATTCAAAGCACCACTTAGCATTTATTATTCCATGCGTGAAAGAAGTTACTTTTCTTTTCCCTTTCTATTCTCTTGCAATGTAGTTTCAAGTTCTAGGTTAACATTAAGGGCTTGGTATAATGAACCATATTTTATAGTTGAGCTCTTTAATCCCTTTTCTTTATGGTATCTATTTAATGTTGTTGACCTACCCTATCCCAAGTGAATTGTGGCCTAATGTTATATTGCTTCAACTTTGCTTTAAATTACTGGAAGAGGAAAGTTTTGTCATCATTGATTAAATAAGTCTTGAATATGTTTTCTGTAGCAGATAAATCTGAAAAGCTTTTGATTGCATTCTTAATGAAAGAGAATGAGCCTGGTTCATAATGCCTTCACTTAGTGCAAGATTACAATCTGTTTCATTTAGTAATGTGTTTATTGTTATGCGTTTAGTGTCAACAGTATTAGCAAAACTAATCTTGTGCATCTTATTGAATTTTCACTTCATTTTTAATGGGTCATAGCATTTAGAAGCATCACGTGTTTGAATAGCAGCATTACGTGCAGGTGACAGAAAATCAGAAATTAGTTTTCTTAATGCTACAGTAATCTGTGTTTTAACTCGCACAGAGTATCAATAAGGATGTTAAAATAATGTAGTTAGATATATAGCCTTTGTTAATTGAAGCAAACAAGAACAAAGTTAGTAGTCGTATTACTATATAGTATATTGTTCAAAATGCAGAATTTTAAATTTGCATAGCTATGTTCTTTTGTCATCTCACTGTGATAATTTATTGTTATGCTGCATTCCTGTGTCTGTGTTTTTGTTTCTTCTTGGTGTGGGTCCTTTCCATGGGGTGCAGTCCTTCAGGAACAGACTGTTCCAATGGAGGTCCCCTGTGGAGCCACAGGTCCTGCCAGCAGCCTGCTCCAGTGAAGGTTTTCCACTGTCTCACAGCCTCCTTCAGGCATCCACCTGTTCTCTCGTGGGGTCCTCCATGGGCTGCCGGTGGATCTCTGCACCCGTGGTTCTCCATGGGCTGCAGGTGGACAGCCTGCCTCAATATGGTCTTCTCCATGGGTTGCAAGGGAATTTCTGCTCTGGTGCACCAGAGCACCTCCTCCCACTCCTTTTACACTGACCTGGGTGTCTGCAGAGTTGTTTCTCTTACATATTCTCAATCCTTTGTGCAGTAATGTTTTTTCTCCATCTTAAATATGCCATCCCAGAGGCACTGCCACTATCACTGTTGGGCTTGGCCTTGGCCAGCAGCTGCAGGTCCGTTTTGGATTGGCTGACATTGGACCTCTCAACCATAGGGGAAACTTATGGCAGCTTCTCACAAAAGCCACCGCTGTAGCCCCCCACTACCAAAATCTTGCCATGCAAGTGTAACTTTTTAATTTTGCCTCTACAGAAAGAGGAACACAAAGTTTAGATTTTTTTCTCTGGTTACTTTTACATGAGAATTGAATAATCTTTTTGAGCAAGTCTGTATATGCAAAGTACCTTTTTTCATTTTATTGAAAGAAATCTCAACTGTCTTTATTTATTTCTCCTTTCACATGCTGCAGATTACCTTTTGTGACTGTGGAGATAGCCCACCACTCACACCTTCAGTTTATAATTTTTTAATTGGGAATTTCTGCTAACTGTAGGCAAAACACTTAAGTAGTAGGTACTGGACACTGGAAAACTCTAACCCTGAGTAAGACTGAGCTGGCTGAAAACAAACTAATATGTCTTCTCAGCTCAGTGGTGTGTGAAGGCAATAGCTCATATTCTGTAGTGACATAATTACATGCAATTTTATTGAAGTTGGGGTAAATAGCACTTGCCATTCAACTTTGGGAATAAGCTTGGCTGTTGATCAATGGGGAACTTTGTTCCATTGCTCAGTATTGATACAGTGAAGCAACATGAACACCAGCTTCACCATGTGTATATGTAGCTTAACTGACTGACTGAATACAACTTTTCTGGAAATAGATTGTTATGTTCCTTGCCTCCCATGCCATTTAAAGAAACTGTTTTGTGTTGTTCCTTTAGTAAAAAGGGTAGACAGAACACTTGAGCTATTTTCTGTAATCTTTCTCTCAATGGTTGTTCAGACTTCTCTCCTGCTGCTTAAGCAAAATCATTGTACAGTCCTTTTGCATTGCATTTTCTAGTAATAAATATACATTGTGTAAATAAAAACCAAACAGGATGGTGTATAGCCAAATGTTATGGTGCAAAATTTACTTTAAAATTACTCTACCTCCAAAATTTTTAAGCTTTTGTTTACACCTCTAACCATTTACTCCTGGAGTGATGAAATGAAATGGTAATCTGTATCTCTAAAACAGACAACAGTGTTTTCTTTCTGCAGTTATTTGTATTTATGAATCTATTTGGGTTTTGGACCAGGTTGAGATATCTAGTTACCAAAAAACACTTGCAATTACTATTAAAAAAAAAAAAAAGAGAGAGGAAGAGTGAAACAATAATGACATTAACTTCTTAATTAAAAAAAAGGCAACTTATCAATCCTTCTGTAATACATTCTTCAACCATTCTGTATATCTTTGCAAACTGCTGTGATGAAAGGATAAAATAGTGGGAAGACATTAGATAAACTGACATTATAAGAAGTAGACCTCATTTTAAACATTTTGTATAAATTGTTTGCAAAGCTGAAGTACCTCTTTTGTTACAGAAATCTCCTTTGGTAAGTCATTATTTAGGCCTTTCAAAGGAGGTTTCAACATTCTAGCACAAGAAGGCTAGGACATGATGAGTGTACTAAAATCTCTTCAAATTAGAAAAATCAGTTGATACACAAAAGGTGAAATTAGGTTCCAAAGAAACTTGTCCCTGCTGAGAAGTAGCCTGACTTTTACACAAAAATATTGACATGAACTAGTTGTCATGACATATGTCATATGTGCTAGCTCCTCCAATTTCCACTGTATGTTTTTAATTATGCATTTCTACCTTTTCAGATTATCTATGTTATAAACATAACAGAGCTAGTATTTTCCACAGATATAAGTTTAGTGCCAGTGAAAAGTGTTAAACGTGCAGCCCTGAAGATGGATTTTCTCTCTCCAGTAAGCAGATGCTGCTTCAAAAGCAACACCCTAAAAAAAATCCCAGGCAATCAAATAATTCCAGTCTTGGTCTGAATGGATAAATCTGTGGTGATGGAAGATATTTAGCTTTTGTAGACATGGACTGCTGAGAACAAAACTCTCTACTATAAAAATGCTTGGTCCTCTTCAGAGAAAGGAAATGCCAATGGTTTATTTTTTGGACTTTTTTTAAAGACTAACTGATGACTACTCCTGGTCTCTTATAAAATTTTACCTATCTATTTCCTTCTGGCATCCATTCAGTGCCACATCTGATGGGTGTTGGGCTATAGGAGATAGTTCTTGACTTGTATATAAACTGTGATCTTTCTACATTTTTGGGAAATATCATGCAATCTTTCCATGACCTTTTAAATATACTTTTTTCCTCTAATATATTGAGTACTTCATTGTAGAGGTAAAATCTACTCGCTGTTTTTTATACCAATTTTAGTTCACTAGTGTTATGAATTAGATAAGAAATGAAGGATTGTTTTCATCTGGTCAGTGTATGGTTTTGTGGGGTTTTAAGTCTTTGTGAAATAAATGAATTTTGTTAACAAGATGACCATATTCCTCCACTTTAATAATTTTTCAGTCCTCTCAGGTTTAGCAGTGACAAGGAGGCAGATTATTTCAATTCAGTTTTTTTTCATAAAGAAGACTTGATAATACTGATTTTTGAAATTAATTATAGTGTGCAAAATCATCTGTCTTTTGTCTGAAGAATAACAGCAATGTAAAAAGACTAGAGAATCCTAACTGTCAGATATCACAGATTAAATTTTCTGTTCAATTTTTTCACACTCAATTCAGGTTAAATGATTGTGGAAGATTGAACATAACTGGATTTAAAGACTGAAGGAATAAATGAAAGTATGTTGGCAATGGTCTGACAGCGTACTGCTTCATTAGCATTTGGGTCACAAAGTGGTGTGACTTGCCGAATTGTTTAGAGAAATTGTCAAGTGCTAGCAAGATACAAGATGCAAATTTGTGATGTTTTAATTGAGACTAGGAAAGATCAGCAGTAAATCTTAAATCAGATTTCTGAAGAAGTCAATGGGGCTTCCAGAAGATTGGTTTATTCTGAAAGGTAGGACTTAAACAGAGCAGTACCTTAGCAACTGTATATATTTACATGTAAATGAGGTCACCTTATGTGTGAGAAACATACTTCCATATAATTGTAATAATTTATCTGCAGCTCAGGAATGGTGTTAAAATTTGCATGTGATAACTTTAAATGTAAGATAGGCTGTCTTTTCTTTAGGTGCTGAAAATAATTAAGCTATATGTTGTGTAAGTGTTAGGAGAGAACAAGTTCTTTACAAAATATATTGTCTGCGCTTTTTTGTATCATGTAGTATGACAGCTGCTTCCTTTTCATTATATAGACTAGTAGATTCCAACAGTGTCATGGCTGATTCCAGGCCAAATCCGCTTAAATTTATGGAGGCTGAAAAACGGCAATTAGGGATTTATGTTTGCTGAGGTGTCTGGATACAATGTGACTCAGCAGGATGCTTCCATGCCTCGTCTTCCCTGCTGCACAGACCTTTGGAAGCTCATCAAGAGACAGTAGCACTGAGACTGAGTCCACTTAGCTTTGCTCTGCCACCGTTTGTAGCACCCTCAGAGATGGAGATTCTTCACTGGAGGGATGGAAATTGCAAAGCCTGAGGAGGTCTCAGTAGGTGTAATTGCTGTCTTTCTTCCCTTTCACACAGTGGTTAAAATTGGTTCTCTTGTAGCAGAAGGATAGTCTGAGCTATGTTGATCCTTCAGAACCCAGGTGACAGATTGCTGACCGCAGAGGATCTGACTTAGGAAGAGTGACTTTACTTTCTGTTGGGAAGCCTCTTACAACAATTTTATGAGTGTGTATTTGTTGAAGCTGTGATGTGCATATATTTCTGCCATGGAATTCTCCTTTGCCTGTCATAATGGAGTGTAGGCTTACTGATCTGTGCTAAGTATATCACTTTGTGTTGCTTTTAATTCTGGAGATACATTTAATGGTGACAAAGGGAATAGTTTAGTTTGTCTAAGTGGTATTCAGCCTGAGGTGGGAGAACTGATTTACTTAAGGAATGGAGACTGCATTTGTGGTTATGGGTTTCTGCTTGCTATATTTGATTCAGAAAAATGTTCTTCTCTTCCTTTCCTCCCATGTATCTTTTTTCTGATTTTTTTTTTTAGTATAATTCCTGATTTCCTACTGGGTCCTCATTATGTAAAAAGTACTGCAAAATGCTTCTAGTAACTGCCACAGTGAATGAACAATCTTCCTGGATCATCAAGTCTTGTTTTCTGACACATAATATAGTTATAATAATCTGGCATTTCAAATCAATGCTGTTCTAGAAAACAATCCATGTTACCTGAATGAAAACTTATCTTGTTTGTATATTCAACTATGTCACTGGATGGTTTGAGAGACAGTTACTGGCAAAAACAAACAAACAAACAAAAAAACCCCAAACCCCCGATATTCATCAGGGAAGTTTAGACAACAAAATTGAACTAGAATACTTCATAGAAATATCCAGATGTAACCTTTAATATAGTTCTGGCAGTTTATCACCAACTTAGATAAGCAGATTTTCCTTTGCGCTTCAAAAACATACCATAATAGTTTTTGGCTTGTATTTTTCTTAACATTCAAAATCCAATAAATAATGTTGATGTCATGTTTTTGTGTCCCCTTGCAGGAGTAACAACTGTGTTGACAATGACAACACTAAGCATCAGTGCTCGAAATTCACTCCCCAAAGTAGCATACGCAACAGCTATGGATTGGTTTATTGCTGTTTGTTATGCATTTGTATTCTCTGCATTAATTGAATTTGCAACTGTAAATTATTTCACAAAACGAGGATGGGCCTGGGATGGAAAAAGTGTAGTGAATGATAAGGTAAGTCCTAAGGAAATAGTCCTATTTTCAGTCAATTGCACTAAACCAGCTGTAATACGTTGTTTTGATAAAATAGGCTATATAAAAAAAATAATATATGGTTCTTTAAATCAAAAGAATGTGAGTGTATTTTCTGTCCTGAACAAAAATATATCTCCCCTGATGTAGCAAATCCCATTTGGTCTCACTAATCCAGATTTAGTTATCAAGCACTTTTTTTTTTTTTTTTAAATATTGGGAGCTGTCTGCCTTGTTTTTTAACTCCTCAGACACAACTTTATCTGGTCATTCATAAAATTGAATACAGGTTATATTGGTTGATAACTTTTTTTTAATCTTTTAATTCAATCGAGTTGGAAATAAGAAAAAGAATACAGAAAAATGTAATGTATATTGATTTTCCTAGTAAGTAAGGATCAGAAAACAAATTAATGTCCATATATGTAACAACTGTGAATAACAAAATCTAGAACCTTTGAATATTTTCAGTATTCTAAAACTTATCCCTATAGATAGGTAGACATTAATTTAAAAGCTAATTTAAATAGCAGTTGTACAAAATTCTTCTTCACCTATGAGGTATTGATGCTCTGAGCGTGCAGAAATACAGTCATGCCTTAATTTTTTGGTTTTGATAGTGGTGTAGGTGTGATAGCATGAAGTTTTAACTTGATAGAATTTTTTATTTCACGAACAGAATGAACTGGTGATACACCTAACTTTGTATATTTACAGATTAGAATTGTAATAACACAGAACAAATATTAAAACTCACCTGTTTTTACTGACTTAATATATAATTTTGTTCTATCCCAGTCCCTGATTCTACCAATGAAAACAGATTTCTTCTGACAAGGAATACACTGATTTCTGTAATTCTTCTTAAAATAGGATAGAATATTGTTTGCTTCCTGAATGATTATAGTAGATGTGAAGCAAAGTTTCATCAACTGATGATTTCTCAGCAGTTTGAATGCATAAAGAAGAAAAATGTTCAGATAATAGTAAAGGAGAATTAGAAGAAGTGTACATTCTTTGTAAGTCCCTGTGACTTCCATAAGGACGCGAACTATCCATAACTTCAGCATCTATTCCCTCCTGCTAGAGGTAGATACTGAATCACCTCAAGTTTACCAGCATCTCGTGAGTGAAGCTTTTCAGACTGGCACATTGCTCTTGCATTGTAATTATGTGGGGAGCCCTTATAAACTCTCTGATCATCCTTTGGTTGTTCCTTTAAAGTAGTACAGCAGTGTTGTCTCATAATCTTGGGAGCAGCAACTGTTTAACAGCTAGATAGTATTCCTTCCCTAGGAATGACAAAATTAGTCATTACGTTCTAAGATTTCTTTACCATTCACATGTCCAGTTCTCTACGTTCTTCAAAATGACTCAACAAAAAGCTAAACTTTTTACATAGTCATTATTTCTCATACGAAAATATGGTTCATCTTTATTATGCAGATTTCATTAATGGTAGTACAGATACCTTTTAAAAACACACTAATTTTGTCTGAAAGGAAGGAATTATAGATGAATTAGAGTGTTTATCTCATAATTTGATTTGGTAATTTGTTCTTATTTTTTCTGGATGCATCTGTACACCCAAAGCCAGGCTTACTCTTCACCAATTAAAGCTAAATATGTTTCCTCAGTGACAGTCATCTGTGTTCACCTTATATGGAAATTCTTGTCTCAGTGCTGTTGACATGGAATTTGTCTCACAGGAAAGCAGGTGCAGGAACAAGCTACATGTTTGATCAACACTATTTCACATTCCAGTCAACAAGGAACAATGCTAAACTCCCAACTGATTCTCAGATTCTCTTTTTATGTGACACCATCTCCTAAGACAAGGTATTTTGGGCACAGCGTCTAACCATGAGGATCTTACCAAGACTTTTAGATGGCAGGTATAAATATAAAATTGGACATAATTTAAAACCAACACTTGGAAATTGGGTAGATGGCTCCCAGTGGAAGTAAATATTTTAAATATACCTGAAAAATGCACCTGTATGAGAAATGTCACAAGAATTCCCTCACTTGTGCCACTTCCATTAGATTAAAAATCAAAACAAACCAATACAACAGCTGATGATTTCTTATATGATCCAAAAGCTAACTGTTTCTTTTTTAATTCTGTATTTTGTGGAAGGGATAGAATGAATCTAATATTTATTGACCTGTCTCTAAATAATATATGTATATATTTCATATTACATTATTATAAGTATAAAATTATATGTTATATTTTTATATATATATGTAAATAATATCTGTTGCTTCCTGAGAAATTGCCTTCTATTCTTTCCTGTAGGTTATTCAAAATTCCTTAGTTTGACATTGCTGCAAAACAGTGAATCAATCTATAACATTACAGCCTGCGTACCTATATATATGTCTAAAACCTGAAGCCTGTATTCATTATCTACACATCCCTGTACCTATGTGTACACATAGACTCTCTACTGAACTGCTATAGGCTGAATTTTAGCCCTTTGAAAGCATACACAATCCCATAACAACACAGAATTGTTGAGGTTAGAATTGACCTCTGGAGATCATCAAATTTAACTCCCCTACTCCAAGCAGGGTCAACTAGGGGTGGTTGTTCAGGGTCATGTCCAGACATTTTTTAATATCTCCAAGAATGGAGATTCCACAACCTCTCTGGACAATCTGTGCCAGTGGTCGGTCATGCTTATGGTAAAAGACTTTTTTTTTTTTTGGTAGGTCAAAGTGGTATATTCTGTATTTCAGTTTGTGCTCATTGTGTCTTGTCCTTCCACTGGATATCATTGGGAAGAGTCTGGTCTTCTTTACTCTCTCCCATCAGATATTTATACGCATTGTTAAGATTCCTCCCAGAGCCTTCTCTTTTCCAGGCCTAACAGCCCCAGCTCTCTCAGCCTTTCATATTTCGGATGCTTCAGGCTTTAAATCATCTTTGTCGTCTTTCACTGGACTTGCTTTATTATGTCCATGTCTGTCTTGAGCCAGGAAGCACAGAACTGTACCCAGGGCTCCAGATGTGCCTCACCAGGGCTGAGTTGAGGGGAATGATCACTTCCCATGGTCTGGTGGCAATGCTCTCTGTAATGCAGCCCAGGAGGCTGTTGGCCTTTGTGTCTGTAAGGGCTCATTGCTGGCTTGTGTTTGACTTAGTGTCTACCAGGACCTCCTGGGCTTTCTCTGCAAAGCTGCTTTCCAGCCCATTAGCCCCAACCTGTGCTAGTGCATAGGCTTATTTCTCCCCAGGTGCAGGATTTAAATTTCTCTTTGCAGACCTTCATTAAATTATTTAAATTCCATCCCATTTTTCTTATCTTCTGCTATTTTTTAGGTTCTTATTTCTGTTCTCATCACTGCAATTCTATTGTAAGGAGACTGATACAAAGCAACTAGAGAAAGTCCAACTCTTTTCCAGTTATCCTTAAAATCACAGTGACAGACCCTTCCTCATATAAC